ATGATGATGATGATGATGATGATGATGATGATTAACATATATATGATATGATGATGATGATGATGATTGTCTACTGTATGAAATGTATTGAGGCACGGGTGATGATGATGATGATGATGAAGATAATGAGTATGATGATGATGTTTATTATGCGAGATATGTATTGATGCATTGGTAGCTTTATTCTGATGATGATGATGATGATGATGATGATGATGATGATGATGATGATGATGATGATAATGATGATGTTTAGTATGCGAGATATGTATTGATGCATTGGTAGCTATATTCTCATGATGATGATAATGATGATGTTTATTATGCGAGATATGTATTGATGCATTGGTAGCTATATTCTCATGATGATGACGATGATGATGGTGATGAGGATGCAGATTGTTTACGGGTGAGGTCACGTGTATTGTAGCAATGATGATGATGATGCATGTACACATCCATATACAATTAATTTTTGGGTGAAAAAGAATGTGTGTGAGGATCTTTGTGTAATGACAAAAACTTTTTAAAAAAAATAAAAAAATAATAACTGAAAAATAATTGAAAAAGTTCAAAACATATATAAGTTGACATACAACATGTATACATATGAAATGTGACATATATATTGACTAACGACGTTCAGTGGATTCATTTATTATCATGCGGCAGTTTTCTCAGTCAGACAGTTGAACTTATATAATTACAAGAATATACATTGTTATGGCCCATGTATATCACGGTATTAAGTAATAAATATTTGAAAAATTATATAAATTGGTGAATTAATTTATTGCGTAATAATCAATTCATGCCAGAATAGATTTAGATTTATTAATTCGCATTCAAGTATGTAGCCATTGATCAAATATAACAATTTGAAACCTATCTCCCTCACTACGCCTAGTAAAGACGGATTCCTTAATGCGTTCATCCTCACGAGGCATGCTCGATCGGATGATGTCAGTTTGATGGAATTTGACACCTATCGGGCGTCGACCCCAATTTTGAGTTATCCCCCTTTGGACATTCAATTTTCATAATTGTTCATATATTATTATACTTTGTTTATATCGATCGAATTGTTAATATTTTTATACTAAACATCGGTTTATAGCAGTTTAGAAGAAATTTCTTGATTAATGAAAATAATTTAGTGTTTCGCTGACGATTACTTTTACCCACAATGCAACGTTCGCACATACATTTGTTGGTTGGGGTTTTCACAACACAGTCAAAATAATAAGTTAAGAAGGTAAGTTCGTATATCAGTGTATTTATGTATGTAAAAATAACTGATAAAGTGAAATTTCAATAGTTTTGATACTTACAAGTTGAAGGAAGTACAATTTGTTTAGGAGAAAGTGGTTGATGCGGCGAACTGGCAGATTCGTAAAGGAAAGCCATCGCCATCATCGACGTCTGGGGAAAACTGAAAAGCAAGACATAATCATGACCATCTTTCGAAATCAAATTGTCATAAAAACAAATACATTTGATCCATTCCGTCACATTTAAACTATTTATGTTATCATTTAGATAGAAATTAGTTTAAAAGATTGTCGGTTGTATTTCTAGACACACATTTGTGAAATTCCTTTGTCTTGTCTCGCAGTTCATTTGAATCTGATGCTTTTCCTTTTACATGTCCGTCAGTTATTGTTATGTAATATATTTAAATTATTGTTTAATAAATTTTAACCTGAATCTTGAAAATAATTACACGGTAATTTTGGAAATACATTTATTTTTATTTTTATCGATAATGGTTGTTGCACTAGGCCTATGTACAATTGCACATCTGCAAGTGCCCCCGTGGCAAGTGCGCGTTCAATCTTAACAGAAACGGAAATCTTTGTTGACCAGTGCTTATTTTATGTAAAAAATGTTTCCTTTTAGGTTGATCTAATTGTGTATACTTTCCCTTTTCAGAAACCAACCTCTTTTTTAAATTTATTCATTTATAAATTTGTGTGCCGGTGTGTGTTCTGTCATAAACCAGCAACATTCTGGACGGACAGACAGGACAGGGTGGTGCTTCTCCACACACCGGAGGAAGGTAATGTAAAACAATCTAAAATTGAAAACAATTTTAGTTGGGTAACAAGACTAAAAAAGTTGTTCTCTGCCTCTGGTACAAACCATAAAAGTATTAAAAGCTTTTTGTTGATCAATGGCTTTAGACCCTTATACTAAAACAGAGCAAAATAGAAATGGTGCAGCGTAGAGCAGCCAGATTAGTCACCAACAAATTTAGAAACACCTCCAGTGTTGGAGACATGCTTCAACACCTTAACTGGCAATCACATATAAAACACACTAATGTAGAACACGGGTACGACAACAATCCTTTTTCCCTCGTACCATAGACTGGAATGGCCAACGCTACAAACACTGCGCAGCTACACAAGAATTATCCTTTTTTACAAAATCATACACAAAATCGTAGCTTTAAACCCAACTCATATACTCACACCCGTAGACCCTTGCACCAGACATGCACACCCTCATGCATACAAACACATATCTGCTACAAAAGACACCTACAAATATTCATTCTTTCCACACACAATAACACAATGTAATCTCCTTCCCATAGCAGCAGTACAATGCACAACACTGGAGGACTTAAGGCACACTTACCCTACACAGCCCTTGAACCCCTCATCACGCGCTAAACATACGCCAGATTTTATCTTTTTATCTATAACTTGCACCCCCACCCACCCCCGAGGGCATAAACATCAAACTGATGGAGCCAACACTTTCTTTTATCTTTTCTTTGCCTAGCACCCACTATCCCATGACAGCACCCACTATCCCATGACAGCACCCACTATCCCATGACAGCACCCACTATCCCATGACAGCACCCACTATCCCATGACAGCAACCACTATCCCATGACAGCAACCACTATCCCATGACAGCACCCACTATCCCATGACAGGATCTTCAAATAGATGAAGGTGGTCATTACTATGTAGATAGAGAAAATATGTTTTGATAATAATATGAAAAGGCAAATTTAGGCTAATAGCTCTAAAACGAAACAAAGTCGCTTTTAAAAGAAGATCTTATAATTAGGTTTACAACAAAAGACATTAAATATTTTAAGTATTCTTTTTACAAAATAATGATGAAAAAAAATTCGAAAAATTTACATTTACGAAAAATGAAAACAAACATCTAAATGTATGCTTTTTGTAGTCAACATTAAAATAAACCTTATTGTTTTATGCGACTTTGCTTGCATTTAATGACAGTATAAAGGTCTTTATAGCTATACGGCTCAATCGCCAGAGTGTACTGGACCTGATATGGTAGTGATTGCTTTGCTTTGCTTTTATGTATATCATTTGTAGCTTTCGGTGTGTTACATGTTTGACGGTAAAAAATAGCAATTCCGTTTACAGAAAGTTCGCATAACTAGAAGCGATATCATGATTTTCTTCTACCCTCTCAAAAGTAATTTTCTCCTGTTCAGTCATTTTACATTAGAGTTTTCCTCACTATTTTTTTCGTGTGAATGCCCAGCCAACTAAACTGCTAAGATCTTTTAAAGTTGTAAATATAAGCTAAAAAATAACAACAAAAAACAGGGGTAGCCAAACTTGCCCCAGTCTCCCGTATGTATATTTTTTGTATCTTTGATGATTGGTAAAAATGTATAAGGTATATGATGGGTCAAGTGGCACAGTGGATAGTGCGCTCATCTTCACCAAGATGGCCGGATTCAATCCCGGTTACCTGTCCGGCCTCGACCATGCAGGTTTTCTCTGGATATTAAATCCTCGGTGTGATTCCGTCGGGTCACAAATAAAATGATTGAAATAAGGTGGGAGAAAACTGTTTGGTAATTGCTATAGAAAAAAAGTGCATATTACATCTTTGACGATATGTCTATAAAAGTAAATATATAGAGATGTTAGTTAAAAATTGAAATTGAAAAAGGAAACATTGTTATACTTAGATGTAACTGAGATTGTCATTAAATTGATGTTTAGAATTCCGGTTCCATCCTGAAAAGCCGGATTGAATTTCAAGTTTTGTAACTGACACTGAGGTTTGACAGGTATTGATGCCAAATAAAATAAAACAGTTTGTCTGTAACTAGTTATAAATCGGCATATGTTGTGAAAAAGTAATACATTGCTAAAACAGGGCGTTGAACTCAGGTTAGTTGCCTGGACAATTACTGTTGATTTCGACATAAATGAATTACCCATTTCTTTTTAGAGTGGTCATGATGCATACATAAATTATGTAAACTATAACCAGACTTTCAAAAATGTTAATTATTTCATTCTTATTCTCAACAAATGGAAATCAAAAGCTGATAAAATTTTAGATGATGAAAAATAAATGTACACGTTGGCTTTTTGGTTAAATGCGGCTCTTTTTGAAAATTTCTCCTGGTAGAAATATTAACAGAACCTGGTTGATGACAAAAAGGATCTTCAGAAAACATCCACGTTTTTACCTTTTGTGCCTCTGACAAAAACTGAAATTAAAAACTCATGAAGCAGCGACAAAGAGATAAAAATGCAACGGCCATCAGTTCCAAGATTTTCTGGTTATTTTTCATCCTTCTGGATGAAGGCCGGTGGAGTGTGACGTCATAGTATGATAATCTCTGATAATACACTTTCGGTTTCCCCACTGAATGTCTACTTCCGGACGAAAAACATTTAATGGCAAGGTGTAGCAAGAGGAAGCAACTCTGTTTACGCAGGCATGTGTTACCATTAAAGAGCTTGAGTCGGGCGCCCGAGAGCTACACTCTTATCATAAGTAAAATTTATCTATATGAAAACAAAAGGATCTCTTGCATCCTGAAAAATTACTGCAAAAACATTTTCATCTGTGTGAAGTATTTTGTTTTGGGTTTCTTCGTTTTGTAAAATGAATTGTTGTGTTATAGCATTGATCCTAGAAAATTCAAGCAGTTGGATGAAAATACCTTTTAGTATAAGTGTTTGTTGTGTCTTGAATCGCAGGGACGAGAGACCACCCCGACTCTCAGGTCCAGGTGCTTCTGCACCTTCAGCTGTTAATAACAGATGGATACCTCCAAGTAGTGTGAAACGAGATGCGACACAAAACCCTGACGACAAACATGATCAAATCTTTCGAAAAGTTAGAGGGTAAGTCAGTCTTCATGTACATGCCACAATTTTATTCTTCGTTTGATAGTCTTGTACCTCATTCATAGAGCTTTAATCAAATCTTGAGGGAAGAACTACAATTTTCTTTCTTTAGGAATGATATGACCAGCTAAATTTTGAGCTTTTGTTCCGTTTTTTGGTAAGTTAATTTGTCTTATTCACAACTCGTGCTACTGTTGAATGCGTGCTGCAGTTTTGTATTTATGTAGACCAGGTGATTAGGTGAAGGTATGGTTTATAACAGGATGTTTACAGACTATTTTATCATCAAAGTTGCATGTCATGAGTACATAGTGTATTTTGTTGACTGAATAATTGTATTTCTGGTTTTTCTTCAATTTCCAGGATTCTTAACAAACTCACTCCTGAGAAGTTTGATAAGTTAAACCTTGAACTGCTAAATGTAGGACTCGACTCTAATGTGATCCTTAAAGGTGTCATTTTGTTGGTAAGTTGTATTGTTATTTATCGGTTAATATTTTTCTGCTGTCATGTCATTAGTTTGACTTGTCCGCTATTATTGGAAGATATGTCATGTGTTGTCATTTTGCTGATCTTTGCATCAATACTAAATATAAGAACTTAACATTTTGAGCAGATGTGTCTTTTGGACAGGATATATTTACAAACATACACTTAAAAAAATGGCATAAGATTATTATCAAATATAAACTTTATTTATTTTACAACAATTATGAAACAAGTAATTTCAACTTATATTGATCACTCTTGTGGGAGGAAACCGAAGTACCCGGAGAAAACCAACCACATTCCCAATTTCATTGAAAATAATGTTACATATATATATTCCTAATTCCAGAAATAGGCTGTTGTAAAAGTTTTAAGTAGAGAAAATGCTGATTTTCTGTTTGTAAGGTTGTATGGGGAAGGATTTTCTGTTTGTAAGGTTGTATGGGGAAGGATTTTCTGTTTGTAAGGTTGTATGGGGAAGGATTTTCTGTTTGTAAGGTTGTATGGGGAAGGATTTTCTGTTTGTAAGGTTGTATGGGGAAGGATTTTCTGTTTGTAAGGTTGTATGGGGAAGGATTTTCTGTTTGTAAGGTTGTATGGGGAAGGATTTTCTGTTTGTAAGGTTGTATGGGGAAGGATTTTCTGTTTGTAAGGTTGTATGGGGAAGGATTTTCTGTTTGTAAGGTTGTATGGGGAAGGATTTTCTGTTTGTAAGGTTGTATGGGGAAGGATTTTCTGTTTGTAAGGTTGTATGGGGAAGGATTTTCTGTTTGTAAGGTTGTATGGGGAAGGATTTTCTGTTTGTAAGGTTGTATGGGGAAGGATTTTCTGTTTGTAAGGTTGTATGGGGAAGGATTTTCTGTTTGTAAGGTTGTATGGGGAAGGATTTTCTGTTTGTACGGTTGTATGGGGAAGGATTTTCTGTTTGTACGGTTGTATGGGGAAGGATTTTCTGTTTGTACGGTTGTATGGGGAAGGATTTTCTGTTTGAAAGGTTGTATGGGGAAGGATTTTCTGTTTGTAAGGCTGTATGGGGAAGGATTTTCTGTTTGTACGGTTGTATGGGGAAGGATTTTCTGTTTGAAAGGCTGTATGGGGAAGGATTTTCTGTTTGAAAGGCTGTATGGGGAAGGATTTTCTGTTTGCAAGGTTGTATGGGGAAGGATTTTCTGATTGTAAGGTTGTATGGGGAAGGACTTTCTGTTTGTAAGGTTGTATGGGGCAGGATTTTCTGTTTGTAAGGTTGTATGGGGAAGGATGTTCTGTTTGTAAGGTTGTATGGGGCAGGATTTTCTGTTTGTAAGGTTGGATGGGGAAGGATTTTCTGTTTGTTTGGTTGTATGGGGAAGGATTTTCTGATTGTAAGGTTGTATGGGGAAGGACTTTCTGTTTGTAAGGTTGTATGGGGCAGGATTTTCTGTTTGTAAGGTTGTATGGGGAAGGACTTTCTGTTTGTAAGGTTGTATGGGGCAGGATTTTCTGTTTGTAAGGTTGGATGGGGAAGGATTTTCTGTTTGTAAGTTTGTATGGGGAAGGATTTTCTGTTTGGAAGGTTGTATGGGGAAGGATTTTCTGTTTGTAAGGTTGTATGGGGAGGAATTACTGACTTATTGGTCCATACTTGACACAGTGGAAACATTGTATAGACATAGCATTACATAGCTCCAGCACACGCACATTCATACACACATAGGGAGATATAAGCCAGGTGTTATAGGACTAGTAGTTAGTGCCAAATAAGGCAACTCCTGCGAATCCTCAAAATTGTATTGATTAATGTATATATGCTTATTGTATTTATTGTATATCTATGTACTGTATAGTGCTTTAGATTGGCTTATGTTAGCTAGATATATAGGGCGCTATATCAAATGTTATATATTATTATTATAGGTTTAGGTAACATAGCATTGTAAATTTGTGATGTACCTTACAAGATCACTGTGAATCAATAAAATAATTCATCTTGGCACATACATTGATGTCATATTGCTAAACCCTTCTGTAGTCATCAATCACAAGAATCCCGACATTGTGGTTTTCGTTAGGAGAGGGATATGTTGTTGCCATTTTCCCTCTCATAGTCCTAGATTCCCTAAAAGACTTATACACTTGTAAAATTATATTTAGCATTATTGGCTAGCAAAACATGTTTCCATGACAAGGTTGGAAATAAACAGTACATATTATTCTTAATGCAATGATAAGTTGATATAGAAATTCAGTTTTGATACACAGCCCCCAGAGCTCACCCTGGACCTAAAAAATCAGTAGCCAAAAAAGTCGCCCTGTTTGAATTTCTGTAGCCATTTTTTTTTTAAACAGTGGCCATACTTTTACAGCCTCCAACCGTTGCGGATAGGCCCTCCATTAAAATCATTAAATGTTTAATATTGTTTGAAGTGCAATACTATTCAACATGATGTTAAATTAAGGAGTGCTCTGTTAAATTATTTTTTTTGTTATACATTATGTTTATAATTTAATGCATCATGTGAATTTTTTTTAATCCTTTCAGATTATATGGCTGTAATTTGAAGTAAACATGATTGAAATTAAAATGCTGAAAATTTCCACCAGAACTTAAAAAACAAAATCCAAAATCAAACGTAGCCTCAGTGATAGTGCAATATTGATCATTATTTTTCCTGTGTTTACATCCACCGTAATTCATGTTTTATGTAAAAAAAAAAAGGTCACACATTTCAAATGTAAATGGCAGTAGAACACATTTGAAAGGAAATGGCCTTTCCCGTGCACGTGTCGTCGATTGGCACCTAATACAAGCGACCGTCGAAGTAATTCTGAATGGTTTGCTGTTCTAAAAACTGCATAACTGCTATGCTAAATATCTTTTCTCGATCACTTGAAATTGTAAAACGTCTTCCCGCGAAAATGCACAGTCGGATAAGATATAGGACCTATCGTTTTAAGTGATCTGAAAGGCCGAAAATCGGCACTTCGTTATGGTGTTTCAAGGCGATACTTATACTTTCTAATCAAACATATCGTACGTATTTATGCTTACTACGGTAGGTAAATGTACACTCATTTAAATATACTGAACGCATAAATTTGTTGGATGCGCTGTTTGAACAAGTTTATCAGATCGGCTAACGGCGCCATCAAATGTATGTGTGCGAGACCGTCTATGTGTGACTCGCTTATCAGACTGTTTTCTCAATGTCAATGGGTCATCCAATTAACTTGACCCCACTGTCCGTTATTGTACAAGAATTATAACACCTCTTGCCATCTGAAGCTTCATAATTGACTTAACAACTTAGACAAAAGCATTAATTAACTCGCAGTCGTACAGCGCGCGCTTATCTGTGACGGCCCTGCTTATGTTTACGCAATCAGTGTCGGGCACAATACACACGTGAGCTCATGTAGACGGATCGTTTTCTGGGATTAAGATACAGAGTTTTCCCCATTTTTAAAACTAAGTAGTCAATTTAGAAGCCATATCAAATTTTAAGTAGCCAATCAAAAATAAAAGTAGCCGACAGCGTGAGCCCTGGGCTCCTTATTTTGTCGATAGGCAGTGTAGTCCAAATTTTGACATACCAATTTCTTGTGTGTTTCTAGATATTTGAAAAAGCACTTGATGAGCCCAAGTACAGTTCTATGTACGCACAGTTATGCCATCAACTATGTGACGATTCACCAAACTTTGAACCACCTGCTTCTAAAACAACTGTAAGTAGTACTTCTGTCTTCTTGCATTCAGTGTAGGATGTGATTTTGGTATCATTGTGAATATTCGTTGTTTAATTCTGATTGATCTTCTGTCTTTTTCATTACAGTTATTTTGTTTGTCGTTAAAGATTACATGTCGGGTGGATTGTCATGATTCTCACTTTCTCCTTGTTGTAGACTTTCCGTCGCCTGCTTTTGAACAAGTGCCAAGATGAATTTGAAAACAGGTCAAAAGCCACAGAACTTGAAGGTAGGAGGATTTCGGGTGCCTATGCCTGAAATATAGCTTAAAAGTTGCCATATTTCAAGCAGACTTGATAGAAAATTTCGTGTCTTTCACAATAATCTGGTGGAAGTCTTTAAACAATCAAGGGAAATGTGAACTATTGCTATCACTTTTCTTGCTCTGCTAATGGTTGAAAAAATAGATGCATTTGTGATATCACCTATGTCGTTTATCATGGATTTTTTTTACATGTATACAGCAGTTATATGAAAAAAGTACTTAATAATGAAATCTATTAAATAAAGTTAATTCACCAGCTTCATGCCATGCCATGTGTTTCAAATCATCTTGTGTAAGAAGTATACATTCAGACATCTTATCTTATGACAGTATTTGACCGAAAAGATGGCACGTTCAGTGCCGAGGAAGCAGAGAAGTACCACATTGCCAAAAGGAAAATGCTTGGTAACATCAAGTTTATTGGTGAGTCTCCATTTAACTATGCTGAAATTTCAACTTTTTTATTTTGTGAAAATTGATGTGGGAAATAACTTAAAGGAAACTGCAGGACAGCCAGTCATAGACATCCAGGCAGTCCAGACAGATTCTAAGGTAGCCTCCCGGTCTTGGGGACCAGACAAAGTTGAGTTGGGTGGGATGGGGAGAGAGATATGTACTAAAGTTTATACTACCCTCATAGTTGGTAACATTGGAAAGAAAGTTATTTTATCAACATAGATTAAATGATATGTTTCATTCTTATAAGGCGAACTCGGAAAACTTGAAATGCTCCACGAAGGAATTCTACACAGGTGCATTAAGCAGCTTCTTGAGAAGAAAAAGAATGTACCGATCCAGGACATGGTGGAAGACTTGGAGTGCCTCTGTCAGATAATGCGGACAGTTGGGCGCCGCCTTGACTCACCCAAGGCGAAAGTATGTACACTTCAAAGTAGTCACAGAAGTATTTTTTTATGGTTACATTTTGTATGAGTACCTGGCTTATCCTGTTGAAATACGATGTAGATGTCTTTGGTTTATCAGGTTTAGCTTCCATGTTACAGCTGCAATCAGTTAAGGACACAGTTATTGGGATGGAAATTTGTCTAGTTTAATAGATTAAAAGTTTTTGTCTTTTTTTAAGATCTCAACTTTTATTACTGTATAGAGTGCATACATATTCTTTCCCTTTGCAGTCATGGATGGATCAGTATTTTCAGCGAATTCAAACTTTCGCTAAGAACCCGGAATTCCCCTCCAGGATTCGGTTTATGCTGCGAGATGCGACAGATCTACGACGCAACAATGTAAGTGATAAGTAGTTCAGTCTGAAAAATAAGAATTAAACTTTTGGCAATCAGTTTTGAAGGTTAGTTAATGAAGCTGTTATCTGGTGAAACATTCATTGAAGCATGTCCTTTTCTCTGTCTGTTGATACAGTGGGTTCCCAGAACAAGTGGAATAGATCATGGTCCAAAAACCATCACACAGATACGACTAGAAGCTGCTGATGTAAGTTTCTTCAGACATTTTTTTGCCAGGATATGGTATTTCTATTTTATTTCAAGAAACAAAAATTTGAATGATATATTATGATCTTATATTTTACAATGAGATTGGTTTACTTTTTAAATTATAATATATTGACAACTTCATATTATAAATAAGAAGGGTTTCTTTAAACCGTGAATAATGTTTTTTGTAACGACTTTCTAGTATAAGATGCAATGGATTTAAATAGTTTTACACCATTTTAGGAGTATGGTGAATACATTCCACCACCTCAGTCACGTCAGTTTGGAAACAGATCAAGCATGAACGGAGGCATGCATCCCCAGTGGATGGCATCAAATCCGGGTCAGATGGGGGATTTGTTTGGAATGTCCTCACCAGGAATGATGATGGGTAGGTTATACTCTCCTTAGATTGTCCAAGTTTTTGAAATGTAATTTAAAGTTTGAGATCAAATGAGAAGATGAAAGTGAAAAGTCAGCTGTTTTTCTTAGCATTCCATTATTAATAAACATAATTGTTTCATATAATAAAATTGATATGTGACTTTTATTGAAAGCTATTGATTTCATTAGGAACAATTGGAACAGGTACTGGACCTGGAGTAATCCATGATGGACCTGGCTATCCCATGAATATGGGTAAGCCCAGGAACATGCAGCAGGGGCAGGGCTTTAACAACTTCAACAAGCCACGACAGGACGGGGGAGGGAGGGGTAATATGCGACAGAACCAGAATAACCAGCAGATGTCTGGGGGGCGCCAGTCTCCTCAGTCTCTACAGCAACAGCAGAAACAAGGTTAGCTACCCACTACAGAATGTCCCCTTAGTATGTAAGGGAGCTATACTACTTTGCTGTGTGTTTTTATAAAGTCATATCAAAGCCACTTTATCCTTACCCATTATCATGTCAAAATGGTTTATTTAGAGTTTCTATTTTTTGTTAAGTACTGAAAACAGTTTTGTTAATATTTTTCTTTTGTTTTATCATAATATCGATGTGATTTAATGTTTCAATCTAGTACAGACTGATTTTATATTTACAATACATTGAATTACTGAATGAAAGTTTCTTTTTTATACTGTAATTTAGCATTGAATTGCCAACCTTTCACAAGTATTGGACAATCTTATTTAACAGCTGTTTCCTTGTAAAATTGATTCTCTATATATGAATCATGATTGGTATAATAAATAACAAACATTTGTGCTGTGTTGCAGCAAGCACGGCGCCGCGAGACCTGCCTCCACGCTTCGCCAGACTGGCCCAGCAGCAACAACAACAAATTGCTCAGCAGGCTGCCAGCGCTAATGGCACAGCAGTCATGATACCAAGCACCAATGAGGAAATCAGTCTCAGACCGGCCAAGAACTTCACCGTTTTCAAGCCGAATACACCTAACAATCTTCCAAAGTCTGCACAGGTTGGATCACAGAATGCTATGATGAAGATGTCTCTGGGCCCTCCAGAACCACCAAAACCATTGCTGAACAAACAGGTGGGTTCCTTTATTGAATGTCCTGGTGGTACACATTGGAAATATTCAAGCAAATACACTAAAAGAAAATGTGACTCTTATCATATTTCAACATATATTTGTCCATAATTTAATTGGCAACATATGAGTTTCATTATGTTATTTTCAGGCCCAGATCACCATCAAGCAGGTGACACAAGACAAACCCAAGTCCAACAGGAAGGCAATACCAACAAAAGACGAAGTGATGAAAGCGACAGTAAGTTTTCTGAATTAAATTTGACAACAATTTTAGAAAGTTCTGTTTAAATTTCACATCATATTATATGGAAGTTTTATAATCAGCTGTGAGGAATTAAACAGAGCTATAAGATTATCATGTTGTGTACAAAACAGTATTTTCCAATAGTAGTAGCTGCTGTTGGATTTTAAGTAATGGATATAAGCCAAAAACGGCCAAATAAGTGAGGGAAAGGTTAAGGCCCAATAAGTGAGAGAAAGGTTAAGGGCCAATAAGTGAGAGAAAGGTTAAGGCCCTTTATGTTTAAGTATTGATACAGGTGTGGAAATAAAATTCTATTAATTGTAATTCACTTATGGGTGGAAATAGATCTAGGGTAAGCATTATAAATATGTATTAAGTTATGTGTGGAAATAGATCTAGGGTAAGCATTATAAATATGTATTAAGTTATGTGTGGAAATAGATCTAGGGTAAGCATTATAAATATTGTGTTTCAGATGACAATGTTGGACGAATACTTGGCTAATTGTGAAACAAACGAAGCTTTAAATTCATTCAAAGACATGAACTCTCCTAAGAAGTAAGTTTTTTTTTTTTTTTATATGCATATAGAAATCGTTTTGAATGATTATTATAATTTCAATAATCAATTTGTGATTTTTTTTGATGGATTCATGATTTAATTTTATCCTAAAAAAATGTTTTACTTTTAAAGGTTCCACCCAGACTTGCTAGCCCAGATGATGACAAAAACTGTGGACAAATCAGGTATGGAAGGTTTACCTTTATTATTGACTTTCTGAAAAAAATCTGATGATCATTTGATGGGGCAATGCCTGTACCATGGATCCTTTTTGCTCTTGTCCAAGTAAACAGTTCTCAGTTCAGATATTAAATCTGAAAACTTTTTCCGCATAACATTTATGAATATAAAAGTGGTAAATATGTGAATGACCAGTGGTAAATATGTGAATGACCAGAGTTTATTATGTAAAACAACTTAATCTGGGGCGTCAAGTCTTAACATTTTGTATTTTAAATTTCAGACTCTGAACGTGAAAGTGTGATGAAGTTGATCTCAGCAATGAAGGCAGAGAACCTAATTACATCTGATCAGTTTATGGAGGTAACTTATACTAACAGTTAACACTTTAATTAAAATAACTGCAAAGGAAATAAGGAAAAGATACAGAATTCAGACACATACATTCCCAAGTTATTGACTACAATGAAATTTAACATTAAATCATCAACATTGTAAAAATTTGAACAAAAACATAAAAGCAAGCAATGTACTTAAAAATATTGAGACAAAGAAAATATTCCGACTCTACGAATTGGTGATTTTAATTTCTCAATAAAAACTTGCCAACTTTTACACCCCTTCAAATTAGCATCTACAAAATGTCTACGGTTCCCCCAATAATGAAGCTCAGGTGTCGGGACAAGCTTCTTTAATACAGTCCTCTTAAATACACTCCTCTTAAATACAATCCTTAAAAAGTAAAATGGTTGTTTCCCCAAACTGATACTACTTCTAAACTTAATTATTGTGATTAGTATTTCTATAATCAGCAGCATTCAATTTGTTTTATCTGTATTAGGGCCTTCAATCTCTACTGGAGAAAATGGCTGAGCTGGAATCTGAGGTACCGCTCGTGAAGTCCTACATCTCCAAGTTTGCTGCTATGGGTGTGACAGAGGGAGTGATCAATATTCAGGAGTTGTCGGTTCCCATGGAGAATGGTACCTACTACCCGCTGTTCTTACTCTGCCTGCAACAAATGCACAAACTCAAGGACAAGAACTGGCTGGTGTCAAACTTCAATGAAAGCAAAGTTTCTTTACAGAATATGTTACCAGGTAAGATCTGCATTTAATGCTGTAGTGAAATAGTTATTTTAGATTTAACATTTGTCTTAAGTAATTAACAAAATGTGTGTGAAATGTTTATATGTTTTACCAAATTTATCGATATCTACTGCAGTTCAGTAGAACAAAGGTTAGTCATTGTCCTGTTACTTCCAAGTCGGACATGACGAGTTAACGTCATGGGCTTATTTCTGGATTAGTAGGTTAAATATTCTGATGCGATGTGTTATGTTGGTGGTGGTTTACAGATAAAATTTTGAAAAAGAATGACAAGGTTTAGTTGAAATGTGGCAAAAACTCAATTTGACTATTACCTATCACTTTGACATATATGCTGTACATGTTGATATACTCATTCAAATGGAATTTCAGTGAAAATTAACCAATGAAAATATTTCCAGTTTTGTAAAGAAAGTTGTGATTTGCTGTAGAAATTGACCAGACTAAAGAGCGTATGATGGAGATTCTGGAGGACCGTGGCCTGAGCTTCATGTTCCCACTGCTGCGTGTCCAGGCCGAGCTGTGGAAGCAGGTGCAGGCCGAGCCAGGGGCCACTGCTACATTCAAATGGATCAAGGAAAACGTAGACATTGATCTTCACCACTCCCCAGGCTTCATCAACATCCTCACTGCATGGTATGTACCAAAGATTTGTTAATAAAATGGATTTTTTTCCTGTATTTTAAGGTCTCCCAAGACAACAATTTCCAATGATGCAGGAAGCTTCTAGGTCCAAAGTTAACATTGTGAATGTAGTTCCCTCTCCCTGCAAATCTTAAAATCAAACACTCCTTTAGGATGGAAAGGTTCTAAGGTGTTTGATTAAAATTGTTATTTTCTCTACGCCCTAGGTCTCCTAACCCATTGAGGAGGGGTTCACGTTTACTGTACTTTATATTAGAGAACTAACACTTTTAGGTATAGTTTATTTATTGGGAATTATTCCAAACTTGGTAGGAATATTTTCTTTGGTTTCCAATTTGCTAGTAAGGATTTTTTTATTTTTTTTACAGTTTGCTGAAGTACATCACGATGGACACAACTCTTGGGAAAGATGTGGACACTTCTGCTGTTCCAGAGAAAGCCGCCACAGAGAAGGAGAAGCAGAGACTTGACAAACTAAAGGTAACATTTTGCTTGGCAACGGCTAGTTTTTGGGATTGTCTATCTCTGTATGTATATGGCTAGTTTTTGGGATTGTCTATCTTTGTATGTATATTGCTAGTTTTTGGGATTGTTTATCTTTGTATGTATATGGCTAGTTTTTGGGATTGTCTATTTTGTATGTATATGGCTTGTTTTTGGGATTGTCCACTATGTATATGGCTAGTTTTTGGGATTGTCTATCTTTGTATGTATATGATGTATATGGCTAGTTTTTGGGATTGTCTATCTTTGTATGTTTATGGTTATTTTTGGGATTGTCGATCTTTGTAAGTTTATGGCTATTTTTGGGATTGTCGATCTTTGTATGTATATGGTTAGTTTTTGGGATTGTCCATTGTATGTATATAGCTAGTTTTTGGGATTGTCTATCTTTGTATGTATATGGCTAGTTTTTGGGATTGTTTATCTTTGTATGTATATGGCTAGTTTTTGGGATTGTCTATTTTGTATGTATATGGCTTGTTTTTGGGATTGTCGATCTTTGCATGTTTATGGCTAGTTTTTGGGATTGTCTATCTATGTATGTATATGGCTAGTTTTGGGATTGTCTATCTATGTATGTATAAGACTAGTTGTTAAATGTGACTACTGAATGTAAATCATATCAATTTGGCAAGATTTTCACAGTGAAGCCAATCGTAAATCAGTTATCTCTAAAATATAAGTTCAGGCAAATTCAAACAATAGAATGTTAATTAATAATTGTGTCTTTTGAAAGTTGAGATCATCACAAAATTGTTCGAAGCACAACAAGAACAAAAAAATAATTCAGGATCTACTTGTTTGAAGACTGGTAGAGAAGTAAATCTACTTGATTGAAGACTGGTAGAGAAGTTAATCTCCTTGTTTGAAGACTGGTAGAGAAGTTAATCTACTTGATTGAAGACTGGTAGAGAAGTAAATATACTTGATTGAAGACTGGTAGAGAAGTTAATATACTTGTTTGAAGACTGGTAGAGGAGTTAATCAACTTGATTGAAGACTGGTAGAGAAGTTAATCTACTTGTTTGAAGACTGGTAGAGAAGTAAATATACTTGTTTGAAGACTGGTAGAGAAGTAAATCCACTTGTTTGAAGACTGGTAGAGAAGTAAATCTACTTGTTTGAAGACTGGTAGAGAAGTTAATCTACTTGATTGAAGACTGGTAGAGCAGTAAATCTACTTGTTTGAAGACTGGTAGAGAAGTTAATCTACTTGATTGAAGACTGGTAGAGAAGTTAATCTACTTGTTTGAAGACTGGTAGAGGAGTTAATCAACTTGATTGAAGACTGGTAGAGAAGTTAATCTACTTGTTTGAAGACTGGTAGAGAAGTAAATCTACTTGTTTGAAGACTGGTAGAGCAGTAAATGAAAATCGTTCTTCTTGTACATTCTCAAAAATATTGAAATTCAAAGTTCATCCTGCATGTTACATTAACAAAAAATATCCAAGAAAAAGTGTCTTAAAACTTAATGTAAAATCAGAGGTGCATTTAATTTTTTATTATCCACAGTAATATTCACGGGTCATGTTTATTTTAGGGAGTGCTACAGATGTTCCTGCATGAACACCTAGACCTGCAGGTCGAGTCACTGTATGCAGCCCAGGTGTTCTGTCACTCTCATCACTTCCCCAAAGGTAAGGTACACCACTGATATATTCTAGATACACCACGTTAAGAAGAACGAGACATGGTGTATAGGACCCACATGAGTTTCAATTTCATGTCATTGATGAATAAAGTATTAAAATTTTCTTCATTGTTTGCAAGTCTCTGCTAAACTTGAGTATTTGAATCTGAAACAAGATCAAGATCCTTTTATGACTATTAAACATTACCAAGAAAAATGCTTATGTTCAGAACATCTTTTCTCTGACCATCAAGTGTCATTTCTCATTACAATGCCACTATGAGAGTATAACACAAGGCAATGATTGGTTTGTATCCTCGGTATAACACAGTAATTATACAAATAAATGTGAGTGATATTGTATGTATTTCACGTGTAATTTTGTATTCCCATCTACAGGTATGTTACTGAGGTTGTTCATGCACTTTTATGATATGGAGATAATGGAAGAGGAATCATTTTTGAAGTGGAAGGAAGAAGTAAATGATGAACACCCCGGGAAAGGAAAGGCTCTGTTCCAGGTAAACATTGTTAGAGTATATACTTGTGTCTGTAACAGTGGCGTGTATGTGATGGTGTATACTTGTGTCTGTAACAGTGGCGTGTATGTGATTGTGTATACTTGTGTATGTGATGGTTTAACTTGTCTGTAACAGTGGCGTGTATGTGATGGGGTATACTTGTGTCTGTAACAGTGGCGTGTATGTGATGATGTATACTTGTGTCTGTAACAGTGGCGTGTATGTGATGATGTATACTTGTGTCTGTAACAGTGGCGTGTATGTGATGATTGTGTATACTTGTGTATGTGATGGTTTAACGTGTCTGTAACAGTGGCGTGTATGTGATGGTGTATACTTGTCTGTAACAGTGGCGTGTATGTGATTGTGTATACTTGTGTATGTGATGGTTTAACTTGTCTGTAACAGTGGCGTGTATGTGATGGTGTATACTTGTGTTTGTAACAGTGGCGTGTATGTGATGGTGTATACTTGTGTCTGTAACAGTGGCGTGTATGTGATGGTGTATACTTGTCTGTGACAGTGGCGTGTATGTGATTGTGTATACTTGTGTATGTGATGGTTTAACTTGTCTGTAACAGTGGCGTGTATGTGATGGTGTATACTTGTGTTTGTAACAGTGGCGTGTATGTGATGGTGTATACTTGTGTCTGTAACAGTGGCGTGTATGTGATGGTGTATACTTGTGTCTGTAACAGTGGCGTGTATGTGATGGTGTATACTTGTGTCTGTAACAGTGGCGTGTATGTGATGGTGTATACTTGTGTCTGTAACAGTGGCGTGTATGTGATGGTGTATACTTGTGTCTGTAACAGTGGCGTGTATGTGATGGTGTATACTTGTGTCTGTAACAGTGGCGTGTATGTGATGGTGTATACTTGTGTCTGTAACAGTGGCGTGTATGTGATGGTGTATACTTGTGTCTGTAACAGTGGCGTGTATGTGATGGTGTATACTTGTGTCTGTAACAGTGGCGTGTATGTGATGGTGTATACTTGTGTCTGTAACAGTGGCGTGTATGTGATGGTGTATACTTGTGTCTGTAACAGTGGCGTGTATGTGATGGTGTATACTTGTGTCTGTAACAGTGGCGTGTATGTGATGGTGTATACTTGTGTCTGTAACAGTGGCGTGTATGTGATGGTGTATACTTGTGTCTGTAACAGTGGCGTGTATGTGATGGTGTATACTTGTGTCTGTAACAGTGGCGTGTATGTGATGGTGTATACTTGTGTCTGTAACAGTGGCGTGTATGTGATGGTGTATACTTGTGTCTGTAACAGTGGCGTGTATGTGATGGTGTATACTTGTGTCTGTAACAGTGGCGTGTATGTGATGGTGTATACTTGTGTCTGTAACAGTGGCGTGTATGTGATGGTGTATACTTGTGTCTGTAACAGTGGCGTGTATGTGATGGTGTATACTTGTGTCTGTAACAGTGGCGTGTATGTGATGGTGTATACTTGTGTCTGTAACAGTGGCGTGTATGTGATGGTGTATACTTGTGTTTGTAACAGTGGCGTGTATGTGATGGTGTATACTTGTGTCTGTAACAGTGGCGTGTATGTGATGGTGTATACTTGTGTTTGTAACAGTGGCGTGAATGTGATGGTGTATACTTGTGTTTGTAACAGTGGCAAGTATGTGATGGTGTATACTTGTGTCTGTAACAGTGGCGTGTATGTGATGGTGTATACTTGTGTTTGTAACAGTGGCGTGTTTGCGATGGTGTTTACTTGTGTAGGTAATAGTGGCATGTATGTTGGGGTGCAGCACCAACAAGTACCATATTTAAAAGGCGGTCTTCAAACTTTCATTGGAACTGCAAACTCTTAAACCATGAAAGGTCATACCAGATATTTTCCAGTGTCAAGGATATGTGTGATCAAGTGATTCAATCTTTAAATAAAAGTTTTGGAATGTTATTTATAGAATTGTTTTTAGTTTAAAGTTAAAATTAAGTGTAAATCTGTGGGGTGTGATATGAATTTGCCATCCTAATTCAGAAATTAATATTGAATTTGTAGGTAAATCAATGGTTGACCTGGCTTGAGCAAGCTGAGGAGGAATCTGATGAGGAAGATGATTAAATCCCTGTTTAGGGAGGATGCAAGGAGATTTAAAATATTTCAACCTTGGTGTTGTTATCACTAAAATCGATGGGAACATTTCCTATTCCTTACTTGTCATCGACAAATAGACAAAAATATAAATATCAAATGGTAAAAAGTAACATTAAGAAAATTTTTGACATTTACAATTTTCTGAGACATTGCATAGGACTATCTTAAAATACTGGATATATCAAAATAAGTGAAATGTGATATGTATTATGGATGCGGTTGACCACAGACACTAAAGACTGGAACACACCGTCTGAACAGTGATGACATAGGCCACAACACTAGTAAAGGGAACAGTTACAAGTGCAAAGTGCATTTGGAACCAACAAATGTTTCCATGCTAAGTTGGAGAGAAAACAAAACATCCCTATTGTCTCACCATGTGGAAAGATAGAGCATTAACAAACCCAAGCTGGAGTTTGGCTATCAGTCAGTCACGCTTTTCACCTCCCAGGATCTGTGATGTGTTACAGTCAAACAAACAAAGACATTTGGAGCATAATCTTTTGTACAGATCTTTAGTACCGCTGAAAAAGGGAAAGGCAATATTTCGAAAAATTGTGTGAAAGGAGTGTGATCTTTAATTTTGTAGTAATTGAAATGTACAGAATCCGATGTAATCTGGAAGATGAGAAAAAGTAACTTTGAAAAATTATCATCCTAATTGACTATGACTTTAGTGCATATCTTAGCAATCATGACTTTTACTTACAGAAAGTTGCCTTTCCATAACTCATATTTATTGCTGTATACTATTTATTCTCTGGTCTTTATAACAAATGCTGATCAGAAACAAAGGGTGCTCTTATAGATAATAGATTCTGGTATGGTCATACCATCAACATTGCTTTATGCCAGCACCTTGTGAATATGTAAAAGATTTGTATGCAAACATATTTTAAAGACTATGGTTAAGTCATGCAATTGTGATATCATTATTGATAACTTAGTTGTGTAAGTTATTAACATTAGAGCTGCCATCTAGAAACTAAGTATTATTCTGTTAAAAACAAAAAAAGTGATCATGTACCAATTCCCACTAGTAAATTATGTTATCTATTGAACTAAATTGTAGCTTGTATTCCCGACCAATGATTAAGGGGGCTTGTTACAGCTCGTACTTCCTGCTATCAGAGTTTAGTGTGACGGTTATCTCTGTTGTTCCTATAAATTAAACATAAAAATACAAGGTTATGGTATAGAACTTGTGATGATATGTGAAGTTCTTTGTAAATGGTGCTCCCAACATTGATCTCTCATCAAACCTCTTCCTTAGTGTTAATCCATGCATAGAATTAATTGTCATACATATATACTAACAACATGCTAAACAGGAAATCTTTCCCATTCCAAATAAAGAATTACTGATTTAATTGAATTTATTTCCCTTTATAAGTAAAACATCGCAGTCACACCCAATTACAATGTTTTCAGGTCCTTATTTTGTGTGATAGTTCAGTTAAGTGGTTTGTTATTAGCATACTCACACAGCAGCACTTAACATTTACTGGAGACAATTGGTTTGGTATCCTGTGTTTCAGTTATAGTTATCATTGGCTGGAAAGTGTTCAGATTTCAATTTCAATGCATTTATTTTTGATCCAATAAAATACTTATATTTTCTGTGACATTACCTCCCTTTATGAATATGCTGCTCATTGATCTTCTCCTAGTGGTGTTGGTTTGATTGAAATAAATGAAGCTGTGGTGTTGAATAGTACCTTAAGCAGTAAATAGTGTTCCTGGGGACTATTTGGATAATGCACGCTAACTTGTTTGATTGAGATTCCTCGATGTGTAATACAGATAACGATTGACTGAACAAACATTGAAGCTTTTATTAGGAATTCTATTTGATAAAATTATACCTGTTAACAGATGATTGTTTTAAATGAGTAAGTTGTTTTGTGAAAAAGGTTGAGTAAAATTATTTCTGCATAAATTAATCATTTTGCTTGCAGGGTCTGCTTCATGTATTATTAGCATTATTGTGATAAAACATTTATAGCTTATTCTATTTGATATTTTGATATTTTTTGTTTTCCAAATTAGGTATAGCATTATAGCCCTCATTTGATGGGTATCGACTTGAAAGTGGATGAATGTTAGTCAAAATGCATATAACCATTTTTTGAAAAAAACATACTCGAAAGGTGTTTGGAATATATTATTCCACAATTATATATAATTATGATACTTTTTGCATGGAGTTTTGAACAGCTGAAGTCGGCATTTAGTTGGAAGTTGTACATATGGTTTGTTTTATACTTTGATAACATTCTCTCAGTTTTACAACATTTATAAATATTCTCTCTCTATATATATCACTATGTTGTTATTTTTGTTTTGTATTGAAGATGTGTTACTTTAGCAGCTTAAGTTAAACCAATCATTTCCATCAAACGTGTGGGACTGTTTGTTGAAGTAACCTATTTTCCTAAAATATTACCTGTCTTGATGTAGTGACGAAATTTCTGAGTGTCTGTATATTTTAACCAGTTAAAAAAACGTTTTGATAAAATCAAGCTGATGAATTAAAATTATTGTAATAAAGTCAAAAATGTAAAAAAATTATGGCATAAACTTTGAGTCCCAGAGTTGAATTTACACATTGATTGATGTTGATAATATATTCTGTGGAAACGATGTTTATCAATGTTCTGCTTAATGACAAGAGAAGTATTTACATAGTCATGTCATATGTCTGGTCACGTCTTTGAAAGTGTACTTATTTTAGTCCAAATAAAACTTCATGGTGTAAATAATTTCAATCTTGATTTCATTTTTAGCTCACCTGGTCTGAAGGACCTTATATTAGTGAGCTTATGCCGTGGCGCGTTGTCCGTCGTCGTCAACTTATCTCCTCCTAAACGCCAAAGAGGATTTCAACCAAATTTATTCTGAAGTATCACTAGAGGAGGGCAATCATTCCTTAAATAAAAGAGGTTGATTCGACCCCTGAGGCCAGGGGGGGCGGGGCCCTGAAGGGGAACTTGGCTAAATTTGCTTTAAAATGCATCTCCTCCTAAACACCAGAGAGGATTTCAACCAAATTCATTCAGAAGCATCGCTACAGGAGGGCAATCATTTCTGAAAAAAAAAAAAAAAGAGGTTGGTTCGACCCCTGAGGCCAGGGGGGCGGGGCCCTGAAGAGGAACTTAGCTAAATTTGCTTTAAAATGCATCTCCTCCTAAACACCAGAGGATTTCAACCAAATTTAGTCTGAAGCATCAGTAGGGATGGGTAATCATTTCTTAAATAAATGAAGTTGGTTCGACCCCTGAGGACAGGTGGAGGGGGCCCTAAAGAGGAACTTAGCTAAATTTGCTATAAAAAGCATCTCCTAAACACCAGAGAGGATTTCAACCAAATTTATTCTGAAGCATCACTAGAGGAGGGCAATCATTTCTTAAATAAAAGAGGTTGATTCGACCCCTGAGGCCAGGGGGGCGGGCCCTGAAGGGGAACTTAGCTAAATTTGCTTTAAAACGCATCTCCTCCTAAACACCGGAGAGGATTTCAACCAAATTTATTCTGAAGCATCACTAGACGAGGGCAATAAAAGGTGACTCAATTTTGTATATCCAGAGAGTATGCTCCCCTTGGGGTAGAAGGGCGGTGCCCAATAGGGGGAATATAGTAATAACTGTTTAATTTGAGGGATTTTGGGGCAAAAGGTATCCAATTTATGGCATTGCCCCCTGGGAGCAGAGAGGCGAGGTACAATAGGGAAACTGAGGTAGATATTTGAAATCCTTCTTTTTGGCTAGGGGGATTTAACACCAAATTTAGTGCAAATCATCCTTAGGCGAAGGGGACTCAATTTTGTAGAAATGGAGAGTTGCTCTTTGGGGGCAGGGCCAAATAAGGTTTGGTTTGGTTTGGTTTAGTTNTCCTAAAATGATTCTTGTTTGTGTAATGTCATTCTCACAAGGTCTTCAGTAGCGGGGTCAGCTCTGTCCTAAATTGATTCTTGTTTGTGTAATGACATNCGACTTTATAGTGCTACCTCACTGAAACATACTGCCGAAGACGCCCAGCAGGGCACCCCACCCGGTCACATTATACTAACAACGGGCGAACCAGTCGTCCCACTCCTAAATTGCTGAGCGTTAAGCAGGAGTAGAAACTACCATTTTTACAGACTGGTATGTCTCGGCCAAGGGGACAGAACCCAAAGCCTTCCTCACAGGGGCGAACGCTCAACTAAAGGCCAAAAGTGAGGCATTGTCAAGGGAGACATTAGGAAGAAGAAAGTTGTTTAGTAAGAAGAGAAAAGATAAGATCCCAACTTCAGTCGTCTCTTACGATCATGCAATGGGGGCAGCAGGTACAATTCTTACGCCCTACCTGCAGGGACTAAAGAAATTGAGGTAAATGTTTAGCCAACGTTTGGAAATAGTTGCAGTATTATAATTAATGAGAATTTTCCCCAATGTTGCTTAAATATCCAGGTGAGCGATACTGGGTCTCTTGTTTGATCTTGAATTCGACTGATGAAACCTAGATTGAGGAAATGGCTTTGTTTGGCTTTCGGAATAAACAATTTAATTTTTACATAGGTGCCTCTTACTTGCTATTTCAATTTTACTGTTTTACATAACATGGTAGTTGTCTCTGCTAATGGACAATCAGTCCTGAAGATTTTCTGTAACCTTGCAGCTGGAACTTAGGGTTGACATGTTGTAGCCAAAAGTTTTAAGTGTTTAATAGACACCTTTCCTTCTACTTTATCTTTAATTTCTAATAATTTAATCTTGCTTGTAACAAGCATTTTCATTGGCTTAAAAAATTATGTCCATAACATAAAAAATGACGTCGCCATTTGTAACGTCGCTTTTGATTGGCTGATACAGCAGCGCAATAATTTCTAAGAGAAAAGAGTCCATCAATACAAGTGTATTTCCACAGGGATTTTGTATAGTAGATTAAATTATAAGGATTATAAGGACAAAAAACCCGGAGTGTACTCTCATCATAAACCGCTTCGCAGTTTATTTAGAGTACACTCCGTTTTTTGTGTTATGTCTCCATAACATAAAATATATATTTAAGTTAATCCTTAAATAATGTTTCGAAACACTTCAGCCTATACTGATTCCCATTCTTATGACCGAGCACCACTGACGAGTCTGGCCATATGATACAGTAAAATGCTTACTGATTTGCTCTCTGCATCGAGGAAACACATTTTCGTTTATTTCTAGTTATTGGTTTATACCCCCTCCGCTGAGTGACTGGTGGGGGAGGGGTGGGACAGTCTCTATCCAGATTGTAAGTATAATAATTATGTAAGGAACGACAAATCTGGGTAGAGGCTTCGGGATCACAGAGTGGTGCTGAATTCCGTCCGTCCATCCAAGGTATTGTGATTTATTTCACTGTTTTTAGGAAATATGGTGAACATATGTCTTTCAGAAGGCCACCGTAACTCTATTTATTTCGAATTTAGTATTTCAGTGAATTAAATGGACTTCATCTAACGCTTCAACTTGCTGCCGGATTCAGGTGATTCTTGTTTTGTAATGACATTCTCTCAAGGTCATCAGTAGCGGGGTCAGCTCTGTCCTAAAATGATTCTTGTTTGTGTAATGAAATTCTCACAAGGTCTTCAGTAGTGGGGTCAGCGCTGTCCTAAAATGATTCTTGTTTGTGTAATGTCATTCTCACAAGGTCTTCAGTAGCGGGGTCAGCCCGTCAGCCCTGTCTTAAAATGAGTCTTGTTTGTGTAATGACATTCTCACATGGTATTCAGTAGCGGGGTCAGCCCTGTCCTAAAATGATTCTTGTTTGTGTAATGTCATTCTCACAAGGTCTTCAGTAGCGGGGTCAGCCCGGTCCTAAAATGGTTCTTGTTTGTGTAATGACATTCTCACAAGGTCTTCGATAGCGGGGTCAGCCCTGTCCTAAAATGAGTCTTGTTTGTGTAATGACATTGTCACATGGTATTCAGTAGCGGGGTCAGCCCGTCAGCCCTGTCCTAAAATGATTCTTGTCTGTGTAATGACATTCTCACAAGGTCTTCAGTAGCAGGGTCAGCCCTGTCCTAAAATGACTCTTGTTTGTGTAATGACATTCTCACAAGGTCTTCAGTAGCAGGGTCAGCCCTGTCCCAAAATGATTCTTGTTTGTGTAATGACATTCTCACAAGGTCTTCAGAAGCGGGGTCAGCCCTGTCCTAAAAATGATTCTTGTTTGTGTAATGACATTCTCACAAGTTCTTCAGTAGCGGGGTCAGCCCTGTCCTAAAATGATTCTTGTTTTTGTAATGTCATTCTCACAAGGTCTTCAGTAGCGGGGTCAGCCCGTCAGCCCTGTCCTAAAATGATTCTTGTTTTGTAATTACATTCCCAAAAGGTCTTCAGTAGCGGGGTCAGCCCTGTCCTAAAATGATTCTTGTTTGTGTAATGACATTCTCACAAGGTCTTCAGTAGCGGGGTCAGCCCTGTCCTAAAATGATTCTTGTTTGTGTAATGACATTCTCACAAGGTCTTCAGTAGCGGGGTCAGCCCTGTCCTAAAATGATTCTTGTTTGTGTAATGACATTCTCACAAGGTCTTCAGTAGCGGGGTCAGCCCTGTCCTAAAATGATTCTTGTTTGTGTAATGACATTCTCACAAGGTCTTCAGTAGCGGGGTCAGCCCTGTCCTAAAATGATTCTTGTTTGTGTAATGACATTCTCACAAGGTCTTCAGTAGCGGGGTCAGCCCTGTCCTAAAATGATTCTTGTTTGTGTAATGACATTCTCACAAGGTCTTCAGTAGCGGGGTCAGCCCTGTCCTAAAATGATTCTTGTTTGTGTAATGACATTCTCACAAGGTCTTCAGTAGCGGGGTCAGCCCTGTCCTAAAATGATTCTTGTTTGTGTAATGACATTCTCACAAGGTCTTCAGTAGCGGGGTCAGCCCTGTCCTAAAATGATTCTTGTTTGTGTAATGACATTCTCACAAAGTCTTCAGTAGCGGGGTCAGCCCTGTCCTAAAATGATTCTTGTTTGTGTAATGACATTCTCACAAGGTCTTCAGTAGCGGGGTCAGCCCTGTCCTAAAATGATTCTTGTTTGTGTAATGACATTCTCACAAGGTCTTCAGTAGCGGGGTCAGCCCTGTCCTAAAATGATTCTTGTTTGTGTAATGACATTCTCACAAGGTCTTCAGTAGCGGGGTCAGCCCTGTCCTAAAATGATTCTTGTTTGTGTAATGACATTCTCACAAGGTCTTCAGTAGCGGGGTCAGCCCTGTCCTAAAATGATTCTTGTTTGTGTAATGACATTCTCACAAGGTCTTCAGTAGCGGGGTCAGCCCTGTCCTAAAATGATTCTTGTTTGTGTAATGACATTCTCACAAGGTCTTCAGTAGCGGGGTCAGCCCTGTCCTAAAATGATTCTTGTTTGTGTAATGACATTCTCACAAGGTCTTCAGTAGCGGGGTCAGCCCTGTCCTAAAATGATTCTTGTTTGTGTAATGACATTCTCACAAAGTCTTCAGTAGCGGGGTCAGCCCTGTCCTAAAATGATTCTTGTTTGTGTAATGTCATTCTCACAAGGTCTTCAGTAGCGGGGTCAGCCCTGTCCTAAAATGATTCTTGTTTGTGTAATGACATTCTCACAAGGTCTTCAGTAGCGGGGTCAGCCCTGTCCTAAAATGATTCTTGTTTGTGTAATGACATTCTCACAAGGTCTTCAGTAGCGGGGTCAGCCCTGTCCTAAAATGATTCTTGTTTGTGTAATGACATTCTCACAAGGTCTTCAGTAGCGGGGTCAGCCCTGTCCTAAAATGATTCTTGTTTGTGTAATGACATTCTCACAAGGTCTTCAGTAGCGGGGTCAGCCCTGTCCTAAAATGATTCTTGTTTGTGTAATGACATTCTCACAAGGTCTTCAGTAGCGGGGTCAGCCCTGTCCTAAAATGATTCTTGTTTGTGTAATGACATTCTCACAAGGTCTTCAGTAGCGGGGTCAGCCCTGTCCTAAAATGATTCTTGTTTGTGTAATGACATTCTCACAAGGTCTTCAGTAGCGGGGTCAGCCCTGTCCTAAAATGATTCTTGTTTGTGTAATGACATTCTCACAAGGTCTTCAGTAGCGGGGTCAGCCCTGTCCTAAAATGATTCTTGTTTGTGTAATGACATTCTCACAAGGTCTTCAGTAGCGGGGTCAGCCCTGTCCTAAAATGATTCTTGTTTGTGTAATGACATTCTCACAAGGTCTTCAGTAGCGGGGTCAGCCCTGTCCTAAAATGATTCTTGTTTGTGTAATGACATTCTCACAAGGTCTTCAGTAGCGGGGTCAGCCCTGTCCTAAAATGATTCTTGTTTGTGTAATGACATTCTCACAAGGTCTTCAGTAGCGGGGTCAGCCCTGTCCTAAAATGATTCTTGTTTGTGTAATGACATTCTCACAAGGTCTTCAGTAGCGGGGTCAGCCCTGTCCTAAAATGATTCTTGTTTGTGTAATGACATTCTCACAAGGTCTTCAGTAGCGGGGTCAGCCCTGTCCTAAAATGATTCTTGTTTGTGTAATGACATTCTCACAAGGTCTTCAGTAGCGGGGTCAGCCCTGTCCTAAAATGATTCTTGTTTGTGTAATGACATTCTCACAAGGTCTTCAGTAGCGGGGTCAGCCCTGTCCTAAAATGATTCTTGTTTGTGTAATGACATTCTCACAAGGTCTTCAGTAGCGGGGTCAGCCCTGTCCTAAAATGATTCTTGTTTGTGTAATGACATTCTCACAAGGTCTTCAGTAGCGGGGTCAGCCCTGTCCTAAAATGATTCTTGTTTGTGTAATGACATTCTCACAAGGTCTTCAGTAGCGGGGTCAGCCCTGTCCTAAAATGATTCTTGTTTGTGTAATGACATTCTCACAAGGTCTTCAGTAGCGGGGTCAGCCCTGTCCTAAAATGATTCTTGTTTGTGTAATGACATTCTCACAAGGTCTTCAGTAGCGGGGTCAGCCCTGTCCTAAAATGATTCTTGTTTGTGTAATGACATTCTCACAAGGTCTTCAGTAGCGGGGTCAGCCCTGTCCTAAAATGATTCTTGTTTGTGTAATGACATTCTCACAAGGTCTTCAGTAGCGGGGTCAGCCCTGTCCTAAAATGATTCTTGTTTGTGTAATGACATTCTCACAAGGTCTTCAGTAGCGGGGTCAGCCCTGTCCTAAAATGATTCTTGTTTGTGTAATGACATTCTCACAAGGTCTTCAGTAGCGGGGTCAGCCCTGTCCTAAAATGATTCTTGTTTGTGTAATGACATTCTCTCAAGGTCTTCAGTAGCGGGGTCAGCCCTGTCCTAAAATGATTCTTGTTTGTGTAATGACATTCTCACAAGGTCTTCAGTAGCAGGGTCAGCCCGTCAGCCCTGTCCTATAATGATTCTTGTTTGTGTAATGACATTCTCTCAAGGTCTTCAGAAGCGGGGTCAGCCCTGTCCTAAAATGATTCTTGTTTGTGTAATGACATTCTCACAAAATCTTCAGTAGCGGGGTCAGCCCTGTCCTAAAATGATTCTTGTTTGTGTAATGACATTCTCTCAGGGTCTTCAGTAGCGGGGTCAGCCCTGTCCTAAAATCCTGGATCCACCACTTATATGTTTTGATTAACTGAATAGATTATACCATAAAATACCTATAATTAACATCTCCTTGATTAATATACGGAAAAACGAGTGACGATAAAGGACCCCCGACAATCCTAGCCTGGATGTAGTGCTATTTGGTTGTCGGGTGCCTTTGGCGCTTCGCAACGTTCGAATCTAAAAAAGTCTTGATTTAAGACGGAAGTACTTAAAATGTTACTATAGAAATAACCCTAGTGTATATAAGCTTGTTAAAGTATCTGATAGCGGCAAATAAGCGCCGATCAGATATATGACAGTTTGTACATATATGTATGTGTCTATTGTTCATTCTCCTGTGACCAATGTGGCTTTTTGTACATATGTAAATATCCTGTTTAATATATGTTTACACTGATAAGTCGCAAGACTTAAGTTAATAAAGAACTTGAACTTGGTTTGAATTTCTGTTACCTTTAATGAGACGTGAAAATGCTAGGTTGTGAATATTTATATATAATTCTAAAATTATTTGTCAGGATTTTAATGAAAATCTATATAAAAAAAACAAATTATCTGATGTATCCAAAACTGTATTTTAATTAATGGGTTCTATAGACACCCTCCCCTTTTGCTCTGTTTCTCTATACTAGTGTGAAGTCTTTTATGCATTGATTTTCATTCTTTTGATCAAAGTGGCACTGATAAGTCCTAAATGGACAAAATAAACATATGATGCAGTAGATATTTACCTTGGCTTTCTGCATTAACAAAGAATGTTTGTTTTTTAATTTGTAGTTGCTGTTTTACGAAGAAAGGTTGTTGATTTTGCTGGTGGTCATAACCAGGTAGCTGGGAGTAATTCTGGCGTGGTTAAGGAATAAACTATTTGTTAAGAGTGTATAGGCATCTTACGCTTTTACTGCCTATCTATGTTTCACGGAACACTTTATACAATAATTTTATTTTTTTGACCTAAGTAATTAATGGACGAAATGTCCATATGGTGCAGTTAATATCTATTATGACAGAAATTCCATACAGCGCCAGCGTAGCGACTTTGCTATGTGGGAGTATTCCTTAAGTATCACATACAGACCGCTTTCAATACGTTCACGGGAATGCTCATCATTATTTTAATTCATATAAATTGATCTCTGGGCCTCGTCGAAGCTGTTGAATAAATTGAAGCGGAAACCAGAGCCTGGCCGACCAGGATGAGTACCAGTAAGGTGTGTTTAGCTACTTTGATATTACTGCTGCCATCGTTTGCACGTGAGTATTGCCGTACATAAAGTAGTGGTAATAATATGGTTACATTTCATAAAACACAAATATTTGAAGTTGTTTTTGTAATTGTTAAAATCCCACATTTTGTAATAAATTCTATACGTTCCTATGAGTTCATAATTATTATTAAAAAAATGAAAGTCAAAGTTCGAGATCACTGTCGCTTATATGAAATAAAATCAAGTCCCTTACTAGTGTTACCATGAATGGATATTTGAAGCCTAAGACAGAAGGTCGAGTAAGTAATCAGGACTCGAAGCATTGTGATGATTGTAGTTGTCATAATTTCTAAATGAAAAGTAATATCATATGTAAACGCGTATATGGATCGTGTAGTGTCTACCCGTACTAGAGAAGCCGTTATGCAGCACTTTCCATTTTTTGAGCACTTTCCTTTTTTTGTATAAGGTTATACGTTGTTATATGAGGTTGCATGTTATAATTTTGTAGAAAAAAACATTTAGACACGGTTCTCTATATTACAACCTGGAGTGGCACTGAGGAAATGGTCCTATGCTGCGGGGATACCGTAACTTTATTTGGAGTTCTGCATGGACACAGACATTTTAAATGGGCTTTTCCTTTCTTTATTCCGTCTTTGCGTATTGCAGAGTTATCTTCTCTTGTGAGCAGGTATTGATTGTTACGTCATTGGTTTGTGTGATAAAATTACGTGGTTTTCTCAAAAATTGATGACGTAACTCTCACAAACCAATGACGTAACAATCAATACCTGCTCACAAGAGAAGATAACTCTGCAATACGCAAAGACGGAATACTTACGTAACAAGGCGATTGACTCTGCTGATGGACTCTCAGTGCCCGGCCTTTTAACTGGATTAAATGGTTTAAGAATGAGCTACCTGTTGTAGACATAGGTTGAAGTTTCTATGTAGGGATTTATAGTAACCTCTGTATTCTACCTGGTCCAAATGTCTCGGGACTTTCCTTCTTTTTGACCTCAGTATCTACGAAGAGCCTTACATTGCCAGATTTGTCATATGGTGCAGTAGCCTATTTGTTTCGGAATTCTGCATCTGCAAACGACATTTTCAAATGTGCTTCCCATACTTTGTATTTCTGCTAATTGTTTCTTTTTCAATGTATGATATTTTGTATAAACAGCAGGGGCAAGTCCCCTATTCGTGTTATCTCTCAGGTCACGACAAAAGACAGGGCAAACTTACAATGTTAAATGGAAACGTGATGTTTGAAGTCATGCTATTAAATAAAAAAAGCCCAATGTGCTGTAATGACTGTACGAGTCATAATATCCACGGTTATAAATATAATATAATGTAACGTAAAGTGTAGTTGCGTATTGGAGCTATTGTGCATACCGTACCTTTGAATGTGGCAATTCTAGACCCTGCTAGTCAGGTAAACACATCTGTAACGTGCAATGCTTTGCAGTATTTACTAGTATGCTTTGTTAATTTTTCGATGATATACGACACAAATTGTTACAATGACGCTCGTTATATAAATATTGAAGAATAACTGTTAAAAGTAAGAGAAAACCACATACGGATGATTCGTGATTTATGTTCAGATGCTGTGTTCTGTTCGAGTGTCGGGGGCGCGTATCTTCCCGTGAGTACCACCATCAGTAGTTTTACAGTGTGTGGCTGGACCGTCCCACTCCCAAACCTGGATACCGAGGTGTGTGACGCGTCAGGAGGGTTCCTTCTCGTCGTCAGTGACTCTGCCACACAGCTTGTCTTCAGACAGTACGGGATGATCAAAAGGTAAATCGATGTTCTACTATAACAAACTATATGTCAGTTCAAGCAAAGTTAAAATAATGGTTATAAACAATAGCATACGTTTGTAAGGTACAGTACGGTGGCTGATATATGACATTTCGTCTTTTCTCTTTGTCGCCCGCGAAATAACGAAATAACGAAATAACGCCAAGTGAAATAACGAAATAACGAAATAACGCCAAGCGAAATAACGGAAAGACGAAATAACGAAATAACGCCAAGCGAAATAACGAAATAACGAAATAACGCCAAGCGAANCAAAGCGAAAAGACGAAATAACGCCAAAGCGCCAAAGCGAAAAGACGAAAAGACGCCAAAGCGCCAAAGCTAAATAACGAAATAACGCCAAAAGGAGGGAGAAAAGACGCCATTTTATCTCTTCGCTTTGGCGTTATTTTCACTTCGGTTTGGCGTTATTTCGTTTTTTAGCTTTAGCGCTTTGGCGTTATTTCGTTATTTCCCTTTGGCGCTCTGGCGTTATTTCGTCTTTTCACTTTGGCGCTTTGGCGCTTTGGCGTTATTTCGTTATTTCGTTATTTCGCTTGGCGTTATTTCGCGGGCGACAAAGCGAAAAGACGAAATGTCATATATCAGCCACCATAATACAACTGTTATATGGGAACTTTTGATGCAGATGCAAAATGGTTTAAACATATCTATTAAATATATAATTCTCGCATGAAAACAGGATCCGTAATAAAATAACTTAAATATCTTTTAAACAGGAAAACTCTTTCAAAATTGTATAAAATATTTAATTTACCTGGGCTGGAGTATGCCAGAGAAGTTTGGGATGGCTGTTAACTTCAGATGCTTACCATCTAGAAACAGTACAGTTGGAAGCAGCAAGGTTACACCATTTACCAAAACAGAAACACTTTATTTAGAAACCAATTTAGAACCTTTATCAATAAGAAGGTAACGAAAGAAAAATAATATTATTCAACAAAATTAACAACAAACTAAATCCATCTTACCTAATGACTTCCGATACAAATAGGGGAACAAGCAATATAGACTTAGAAACAACAAAACAACAACACGACTCCTCTATACAGACTGACATTAACAAATCATCGTCCATCCCATCAACTATACGACTGTGGAATTATTTGAGTGACAACCTACGTGACAAACCATCAATTTATTGTTTTAAATCATCTATAATTAATAAAAAAAAAATATGAACGTGTTGCCAGTCTACTTTGATTACAGAAACAGAAAACTAAATGTTTTACATACAAGATAAAGACATGGCTGTAGTTGTGTAAGATATGATCTGTATGGGGTAAACATTACATACAAGATAAAGCCATGGCTGTAGTTGTGTAAGTTAGGTCTGTATGGGGTAAACATTACATACAAGATAAAGACATGGCTGTAGTTCTGTAAGTTAGGTCTGTATGGGGTAAACATTACATACAAGATAAAGACATGGCTGTAGTTCTGTAAGATATGATCTGTATGGGGTAAACATTACATACAAGATAAAGACATGGCTGTAGTTCTGTAAGATATGATCTGTATGGGGTAAACATTACATACAAGATAAAGACATGGCTGTAGTTCTGTAAGATATGATCTGTATGGGGTAAACATTACATACAAGATAAAGACATGGCTGTAGTTCTGTAAGATATGATCTGTATGGGGTAAACATTACATACAAGATAAAGACATGGCTGTAGTTCTGTAAGATATGATCTGTATGGGGTAAACATTACATACAAGATAAAGACATGGCTGTAGTTCTGTAAGATATGATCTGTATGGGGTAAACATTACATACAAGATAAAGACATGGCTGTAGTTCTGTAAGATATGATCTGTATGGGGTAAACATTACATACAAGATAAAGACATGGCTGTAGTTCTGTAAGATATGATCTGTATGGGGTAAACATTACATACAAGATAAAGACATGGCTGTAGTTCTGTAAGATATGATCTGTATGGGGTAAACATTACATACAAGATAAAGACATGGCTGTAGTTCTGTAAGATATGATCTGTATGGGGTAAACATTACATACAAGATAAAGACATGGCTGTAGTTCTGTAAGATATGATCTGTATGGGGTAAACATTACATACAAGATAAAGACATGGCTGTAGTTCTGTAAGATATGATCTGTATGGGGTAAACATTACATACAAGATAAAGACATGGCTGTAGTTCTGTAAGATATGATCTGTATGGGGTAAACATTACATACAAGATAAAGACATGGCTGTAGTTCTGTAAGATATGATCTGTATGGGGTAAACATTACATACAAGATAAAGACATGGCTGTAGTTCTGTAAGATATGATCTGTATGGGGTAAACATTACATACAAGATAAAGACATGGCTGTAGTTCTGTAAGATATGATCTGTATGGGGTAAACATTACATACAAGATAAAGACATGGCTGTAGTTCTGTAAGATATGATCTGTATGGGGTAAACATTACATACAAGATAAAGACATGGCTGTAGTTCTGTAAGATATGATCTGTATGGGGTAAACATTACATACAAGATAAAGACATGGCTGTAGTTCTGTAAGATATGATCTGTATGGGGTAAACATTACATACAAGATAAAGACATGGCTGTAGTTCTGTAAGATATGATCTGTATGGGGTAAACATAACAGATAAGATAAAGACATGGCTGTAGTTTTGTAAGATATGGTCTGTATTGGGTAAACCCTACATACAAGATAAAGACATGTCTGTAGTTCTGTAAGATATGGTCTGTATGGGGTAAACATTACATACAAGATAAAGACATGGCTGTAGTTCTGTAAGATATGGTCTGTATGGGGTAAACATTACATACAAGATAAAGACATGGCTGTAGTTCTGTAGGATATGATCTGTATGGGGTAAATATTACAGAAAGGCCGTCTTACTCATGTGGAAGTCGTTATGAAAATTCATTTCGCGATTTTTTCGAGTGTAATCAATTTGAAAGAGAAAGGCGATTGTTATTACGCACATTATCTGCTATTAAATGGCAGTCCAACTTTGTCTCGTGCCAGTGGCGTAGCAAATCAGTTTTCGGAGTGTATGCTGGAATAAATTCTACTAGGTCCTAGAAGCAATCTCCCGTGTTCTGGGAACACCTTTAAGTCTGATTATTTTAAAACATGTTAAAGTTTTACTTGCTAATTATAAGAATAAAAGGCACTTGAACGATTATCTGAGGATAACACGCTATAATATGTTCCGTTGGACTAAAACAAGAAGATTTTCCCCCTTTTTATGATAAAAAAATCAATAAAAATATATGATTGAAAAACATCTTCTTAAAATTTTATTGTTTACTTAAGCATACAAGCAAACATGTTTGCTACGCCACTGCTTGCAGAAATCATTCATGTATTCAAACAAGAGGCCCAAAGGGCCTTAGCGGTCACCTGAGTTATATTATAGGAACTGGTAGCTCAATTTCATTGTTGAGATGTGATGTGGAAAACAACATGTAAACTTAACTAAGTGAAATACAATACTTGTTATGTCATCAAAGGATAATCATTTTAAAATATTGGTAAATTTTCCCTTTGGGACCCCTCCCTACAATTTAAATAAAACCCTTGATGATCTGTCCATCCATGCAGAGAAAATGACTGCAGTACCTCTGAATCTGGAGAAGAAGATATTTGAAATATTGGTTAATTTTCCCTTTGGGGCCCCGCGCTGGCCCCAGGGGTTGGGGTTGGAATCCCAATTTTACAATTTTGTATCCTCATCTACCAAGGATGATTCTGACAAGTTTGAAAAAATTCCATCCACTGGTTCTTGAAAAGAAGTCGAAAATGTAAAAAGTTTACGGACGACGGACAACGACGGACGGAAAGCGATCAGAATAGGTCACTTGAGCAAAGCTCAGGTGACCTAAACAGTGCAGAAGTCTATAAATTATTACAGACAGTGCTAGGTTCTAAACTCTTTCTCTTCTCCTACCCTCTTTTCTTTCTTCTCTATCTTCTTTTTTCACTCTGATTTATGATATGTGCAAATTTTATTGTTGATGTTTGCTTTCTGTTTAAACGAATATTTCGTTGGATACACATAAGCGCCGATCGGATCATCGAGAGAGGGGATATGCGCGCGGCCGCCGTAATATAAAAAATATCGACCTTAGCAGGATAAACTTTCCATCCTTACACACTAATAGTCTCTCTTTCTGTAGTCTTATTATAGTAAAACATTAGAAAGGATGACAAGATCAAAAAAGTATTCCCAAGTTGACGTAAATTTGTCAAATTTGATCAATTGTGTGTGGGTCGTTAACCTGCCTCAAGAGGTAGCTGCTAATATAGCCGATTGTCAGCAGGGAATGCTACGGATACAGACGCTGATTGGTAGGATAGTGGTCACTAATTGTAACTTCTACGTAGGCTGGTCCCAATCCTCGAAACCAGACGGTTCCGCTCATGGTACTCATACCTTCTCTGTTCCCTTGGAATATAAAATGACAAAATCGAAGACTCGTGGAAATAAGGTATTTGATTGGTTTCAGGTATCTCTTGGCTGATACCTATCCCTTGAAGGTTATAAAGGAGCTACATCAATTTTCAAAGCCTGTCGATTTTTACCATACACTGCCTTGCGATTCCTTTGAACTTCAACAAAGATATTAGGCTTATCTACTTGTACCTTTGATTTTGTTATGGCATGTTCCAGAATTGTAAATCGTGAGCAGAACCTTTAGATTGCGAGGAGTATTTCATGCATACGCTTAAGCTCCCACAAGCTCAATATTGAAAGAAAAAGATACACTTATTTAGCTAGGTCCAATAGAGTTTGTACAATATGTGATACTCATGATATTGAGGACGAGTTTCACTTCATCCTTAAGTGTCCTATTTATGCAGATTTACGGGTGAGATACCTGAAGCCATATTATTTTAGTCGTCCCAGTGTATTTAAACTTGTTCAATTGCTCAGTGCTAATAATGTAAAAGATTTGTGTAATCTTGGTAAATATATAAGATTTGCTTTTAAGAAGCGCTCTCAGTCATTATAGTATTATCACATTCTCGTGTGTGTGTGTGTGTGTATGTGTGTGTGTGTGTGGGTGTGTGTGTGTGTGTGTGTGTGTGTGTGTGTGATACGATTATATACAATTATCACTCTCCCGTACATCATTACTCTGTTTAACCTGGTAATATGTATTAATATTGTGTTTTGTATCTTATAAGTCGGAAGTCTTACAGAATAAACTAGTTGAATTGAATTGAGGATGTGTTAGTCCGGGAGATACATAAGCTTAGCTCGGCCTCATTAGTACCCGCGGAAACAAAGGCTTACTGAAAGGCTTCATCGGACGAGGGCGTTGTAGCCGAGGATAATATACTCGCCATTAGTAGCCATCCAATGATATCATGTACCACCGTTTCTGACTGGAGGGCCCTATACGCAGTTGTGCGCGCCGACATCGTGTCGCTATGTTTTTGCAAAACTATAAGTTGTAAAAAAAAATCTGTTCGATCGTAGCATTGTATATATATATGTCGGTTCAAATTTGTGCGTAGCGTTTGAATATAAAAAAAAAGTTTGTAAAATCATCAGTAACAATCGATATACCTGATAAACATATAACTCGATATAACTAATTAACAATAGTAGTCGTCTGTACTGCAGTAGTCCGAATTATTCTGACGTTTTATCGACTTTTTTCATATCGGTCTGTCGTCGATTAACGACGGTCAGAGACATGGAAACTGTCTGAGGCGTGTAACCTATCGCTCTGAACTGGGTTTTAACAATCAGCGATCAAGTTTCATCCATGATACAATACAATATTTTAAACAAACTTTAATCTTGAGCCTATACCGTCGTTATTTGGCTGAACATAGTATCTCATTTGTTAACTGTCCAGAAGACTATGCTGACGTTTTCCAAGGGAGAGTTAGCGACCAATATATATACAAGACCACACACTTGTGTTTTCTAACGAATCAGAAAGCACGAGTGTATTGCGCGGACGAATATATTCACATGAATATATATGTCCGAGCAATAAATGATTGTTTTCTGATTCGTTAGAAAACACAAGTGTGTGGTCTCACTTTTATCACATACCTTCCGTATTTGGTAGAGATCGAAACAAAGATTTTATAAACTTTTCAGTTCGCCATGACAAGGGGATTCCCATAAAAAGTAGTTCCGGCTAGTAGGTAAATACAACATTCCGTATTGAACTTGTGCAATACAAAACGTTATATTTCATGGTCTGAAATTTGCTTGTATAACAAGATTCAACAGGTATGTGATAAAATGGCTGATGCTACCTGTGTAGTGAAAGTTAAGCTCCCTGCTGTAACACAACCTATATAGCAATTGTGTAAAATAGATAACTTGTTATGTACGTATACTTTTGTTAAACTATTAAATAAGAAATAAATTATTAAAAAATGAACATCAGAATTTAATAAAATTCGGTTAATATAATATTTCTTAGTTGAAAAAACCTCAATTAGCCAAATTATCGAACTTGTCTGGAGTTGTCCCAGCACAAGTTGCAAGTGTATGGAGAATTTATCTGTGCTGGCCATAAGTGTCTGTCTGACCAGTTGACTCTCGTATCGTATTGGTCATTGTGGTAATTGGTAATCTTGTTTACAAAATATGATAATAACGTCATATTAATGCTGAAGTCTATAGGTTACAATATGTATATATATTGCTGATCATTGCAAAGAGAGATCTTTATGTCGACGTACGTGTCACGTTTATCTTTTGTTCAAATCTTCTTCCATTTAAGATCTCAATAGGAAGTTAACTCTATAAACTATCCAAAGTAATCAAGGTCCAACATTCTACCTGCAATGCACGTCCATTGCTGGTATTACATGCAATCTTGATATTTGCAGTTTCCACTGGGATTTGTGGGTTGGTGCCACTGTGACTCCTGATGGTACGGCTGTGGACACTGGCGGACAACCACTTTCCTACACCAACTTTGCCGATGATTATCCGAGTAATCCGGACATGAAAACGTGTGTCGTGTTAAATAAGAACTGGAACTATGAGTGGAAAAACAGACAGATCTTCGCCGGCGGGGCAGTGTATGCACTTTGCACAGGTAAGACAGGCAGTAAATGTTGGTAAGTGTTCCCCGTCACGAAAACAGTTGATAGTATTAGTCATTCACAATTACAATTACTACTGACACCAGATGATTTTAAAAGGGAAACGAAGAAACAAGAGAAACGAACCAATCTAATTAAAATTATATCTTCACATCGCTCCCGTTTACTGATATGTCGCGTTGAAGATCTAACAACATACCGTAGAGGGTCATGTTCAGGCGACCTTTGCATTAACCAATCAGATGAGAGCTTACGCATTTCTGTAAGTGATGATGTAATGATTTCGGAACACACTTGCTATGATAAAAGACCGAGAGGTGTCAAATGAGCATCGAAAATGGCGGCGCCCATGACACAACGACTTCTTCTTCTGGTGATGTTGTCGTTAAAAAGTTTAACGACCTGAAACTAAAATTAACCAATGACAGGCTTCGCAATATTCAAACTATCACTGGGCCAGACGAAAAAGTGGAGTTTGGGCTACGAAGTGTCTGCATTAAATGCTACAGGTCCTGCTTTCTGATTGGTTGAAAGAAAGAGTTATGTCGCGTTTTGATTGGCTTGTTATAAATACGATAATGCATTCATGTTGACCTCTGACGTGACCCTCTATGGGATCAACGCGACATATCAGTAAACGGGAGCGATGTGAAGATATAATATTAATTAGATTGGAAACGAACAAAAGGGAAAGGAGGCACGGTAGTCTAGTGGTAGGACGCCGGGCTCGTGACCGAAGGGTTGCGGGTTCGAGTCACGGCACGGCACTGTGTTGTAACTTTGAGCAAGATGCTTTACTCCGCTTGTTCCAGTCTACTCAGCTGTAAATGAGTACGTGGTTGGGCAGTGCTAGAATTGTAGAATGCTACCTGTGAGCGACGAAATGGCAGCACCGGCTGCATGGTCCCCAGGTAGCCGAGAAAGATATTGGCTGGTTGCAAAGGCCCTCTAACCACGGATAATAATTTGTGAACCGCTTTGAGACGACCTACAAATTAAGTTGTGATAAAGCGGTATATAAGAACCTCGAATTATTATTATTATTTTTATTATCATATATGAAGAGCATGATACCAGAGTGAATATAAATATCAACTAGTACCTTACAAATTCATTTGGGGATACTCTTTTACTGTGTACTATTTTCTGTAACAGTTTATCTCATATTGCTTGATTTTAGTATTCTGTTTCTCGTTATGCAGATGTGGAAATTTCTCCTCTTCTGTCACCTACTAGTCCTGTGTCAACCGTAGGGTCAAACCTTTCACCAGAGTCCACCGTATCCGATGCTGGTCTGACTGAACATGGCACGATGGAACCTGGTCTTGACACAACAGAGCCCACTGGCGCAGGATGGCGTAGATTGAACATAACAGGAGCTGATCCAGACATTAGAGGGCCTGAAGGATCATCTGACATAATCACAACAGTGGCTAACCCGGAAACCAAAGCACATGTATCGGAAATCACAGATTTGCCGACTTCCACTTCGCCATCATCCGTTACGTTTCCTGAGTTCGTCAATTCAACACCACTACTAACAAATACAAAAAGAGCTACTACGGTAACCGGTCAGCCGCAGTGGCCATCTTCACTCAACACCTCCATAACGACACCCTCTTTACGATTATATTTCAGCACGACGATAGACTCTACATACGGACCACTTCCGGTAGCTACTCTCAGTGTATTAACATGTAACAACTCAACCAAGAATGGCACTGATTATTGCTGTTGTGTTTGCGCTCCACACCAAAAGAACATAACAAATCTGGTGGACCTACTGGACAAGCTAAGACAGACTCTGACGGTCGACAAAGCCTCGCTTTCGTCCACGTATCGCCAGAAAAACAGTGTGGAGGATAACCGGATCACTTCAGTCTGTATGGGATGCGTGGCCATCGTGGTTCTGGTCGTTGTAATCATTATCGTCATCTTCCTAGACGTGTCGCACTTCCTCTTCCGGGGATATCATGTAAGGGTTATTCAAAGTGATTAATAAAATATATAGATCGTTTTGTAAATTTGTGCACTCGGAAATCTTAGTATCTGTGCGGCCTATATAGTGGAAAGCTAATCGAACCAGCTAGCTCATTTATAAAACAAGTGAAATTAAACATACGATGAATCTTTTCCTCATATACAGGATCTATTACATTCCTCGTGACGTATATTGTAAAATACGTAAGACATCTTTTATACGTTATATGGTGCGATATAAAATGAATGCACGATTTCCGGTCGTGCGCAAATCGATCTGACCCTTCACCTTCAAGAAAAAAAGTTGTCATCTTGATTTAAATAAAAACTACAGAAATATATTACACATTAGTTATTCGTTATTTAAAAGTGTCACACAATAAGTCTTAATTCCCTTTTCCCCTACATAGCAAAGGTTTCTTTAATAATAATAAAAAAAATCTATATCCTATACCGCCCTGCCGGCATCCATATCCTATACCGCCCTGCCGGCATCCATATCCTGTACCGCCCTGCCGGCATCCATATCCTGTACGGCTCTGCTGGCAACCATATCATGTACCGCCCTGCCGGCATCCATATCCTGTACGGCTCTGCTGGCATCCATATCATGTCCCGCCCTGCCGGCATCCATATCATGTACCGTCCTGCCGGCATCCATATCCTGTACGGCTCTGCTGGCAACCATATCATGTACCGCCCTGCCGGCATCCATATCATGCACCGCCCTGCCGGCATCCATATCCTGTACGGCTCTGCCGGCATCCATATCATGTACCGCTGTGCCGGCATCTATATCCTATACCGCCCTACTGGCATCCATATCCTCCTTGCCGGCATCCATATCCTGTACCGCCCTGCTGGCATCCATATCCTCCTTGCCGGCATCCATATCCTGTACCGCCTTGCAGGCATTCATATCCTATACCGCCCTGCCGGCATCCATAGCCTATACAGCACTGCCGGCATCCATATCATGTACCGCACTGCCGGCATCCATATCCTGTACAGCACTGCCGGCATCTATAATCTATACCGCCCTGTCAGCATCCATATCCTGTAACGCCCTGCCGACATTCATATCCTGTACCGCCCTGCCGGCATCAATATCCTCCTTGCCGGCATCCATATCCTGTACCCCCTGCCGGCATCCATATCCTGTACCGCCCTGCCGGCATCCCTATCCTGTACCGTCCTGCCGACATCCATATCCTGTACAGCCCTTCCGGCATCCATATCCTGTATCGTCCTGCCGGCATCCATATCCTATACCGCCCTGCCGGCATCCATATCCAATATCGCCCTGCCAGCATCCATATCCTGTACCGCCCTGCCGGCATCCATATCCTATACCGCCCTGCCGGCATCCATATCCTATACAGCCCTGCCGGCATCCATATCCTGTACCGCCCGGCTGGCATCCATATTCTCCTTGGCGGCATCCATATCCTGTACCGCCCTACAGGCACCCATATCCTGTACCGCCCGGCTGGCATCCATATTCTCATTGCCGGCATCCATATCCTGTACCGCCCTGCTGGCATCCATGTCCTCCTTGCCGGCATCCATATCCTGTACGGCCCTGCCGGCATCCATATCCTATACCGCCCTGCTGGCATCCATATCCGCCTTGCTGGCATCCATATCCTGTACCGCCCTGACGGCATCCATATCCTCCTTGCCGGCATCCATATCCTGTACCGCCCGGCTGGCATCCATATTCTCCTTGCCGGCATCCATATCCTGTACCGCCCTACAGGCATTCATATCCTATAACGCCCTGCCGGCATCCATATCCTATACAGCACTGCCGGCATCCATATCCTGTACCGCACTGCCGGCATCCATATCCTGTACAGCACTGCCGGCATCCATGATCTATACCGCCCTGCCGACATCCATATCCTGTACCGCCCTGCCGACATTCATATCCTGTACCGCCCTGCCGGCATCCATACCCTCCTTGCCGGCATCCATAACCTGTACCGCTCTGCCGGTATCCGTATCCTGTCCCGCCCTGCCGCCATCCATATCCTGTACAGCCCTGCCGGCATCCCTATCCTATATCGCCTTGCCGTCATCCATACCCTGTACCCCCCTGCCGGCATCCATGTTCTATACCGCCCTGCCGTCCTCCCTATCCTGTACCGCCCTACAGGCATTCATATCCTATAACGCCCTGCCGGCATCAATATCCTGTCCCGCTCTGCCGGTATCCGTTTCCTGTACCGGCCTGCCGGCATCCGTATCCTATACCGCCCTGCCGTCATCCGTATCCTATACCGCCCTGCCGGCATTCGTATCCTATACCGCCTTGCCGGCATCCATATCATGTACCGCCCTGACGGCCTGTAATATGTCGGCGAAACGGTAGGCCACTGGTTGTATTACATGCGATTCTATCGACAGACATTAGTATTGACCTAGTAGAAAGGGTTGTATTACGTACTATTCTATGGACAGACATTTGTATTGACCTAGTAGAAAGGGTTGTAGTCATGCTATTCTAAGGACAGACTTTTGTATTGACCCGGTAGAAAGGGTGTGTATTACATGCTATTCTATGGACAGACATTTGAATTGACCTGGTACAAAGGGTTGTTGTCATGCTATTCTATGGACAGACATTTGTATTGACCCGGTAGAAAGGGTTGTATTACATGCTACTCTATGGACAGACATTTGTTTTGACCCAATAGGAAGGGTTGTTGTCATGCTATTCTATGGACAGACATTTGTATTGACCCGGGAGAAAGGGTTGTATTACATGCTATTCTTTGGCCAGACATTTGTATTGATCTAGTAGAAAGGGATGTATTCCATGCTATTCTATGGACAGCCATTTGTATTAACCTAGTAGAAAGGGTTGTAGTCATGCTGTTCTATGGACAGACATTCGTATTGACCTAGTAGAAAGGGCTGTAGTCATGCTATTCTAAGGACAGACTTTTGTATTGACCCGGTAGAAAGGGTTGTATTACATGCTATTCTTTGGCCAGACATTTGTATTGATCTAGTAGAAAGGGATGTATTCCATGCTATTCTATGGACAGACATTTGTATTGACCTAGTAGGAAGAGTGGTTGTCATGCTATTCTATGGACAGACATTTGTATTGACCTAGTAGGAAGAGTGGTTGTCATGCTATTCTATGGACAGACATATGTATTGACCTAGTAGAAAGGGTTGTAGTCATACTACTCTATGGACAGACATTAGTATTGACCTAGTAGGAAGGGTTGTTGTGATGCTGCTCTTTGGACAGACATTTGTATTGACCTGGTAGCAAGGGTTGTTGTCATGCTATTCTATGGACAGGCATTTGTATTGACCTGGTAGAAAGGGTTGTTATCATGCTATTCTATGGACAGACATTTGCATTGACCTAGTAGAAAGGGTTGTAGTCATACTACTCTATGGACAGACATTAGTATTGACCTAGTAGAAAGGGTTGTATTACATGCCATTCTATGGACAGACATTTGTATTGACCTGTTAGAAAGGGTTGTTGTCATGCTATTCTATGGACAGGCATTTGTATTGACCTGGTAGAAAGGGTTGTTATCATGCTATTCTATGGACAGACATTTGCATTGACCTAGTAGGAAGGGGTGTTGTCATGCTACTCTTTGGTCAGACATTTGTATTGTCCTAGTAGGAAGGGTTGTTGTCATGCTTTTCTATGGACAGACATTTGTATTGACCCGGTAGAAAGGGTTGTATTACATGCTACTCTATGGACAGACATTTGTTTTGACCCAATAGGAAGGGTTGTTGTCATGCTATTATATGGACAAACTTTTGTATTGACCTAGTAGAAAGGGTTGTAGTCATGCTATTATATGGACAGACTTTTGTATTGACCTAGTAGAAAGGGTTGTAGTTATGCTATTCTATGAACAGACATTTGTATTGACCTAGTAGGAAGGGTTGTATTACATTCTATTCTATGGACAGACATTTGTATTGTCCTAGTAGGAAGGGTTGTTGTCATGCTACTCTTTGGACAGTCATTTGTATTGACCTAGTAGGAAGGGTTGTATTACATTCTATTCTATGGACAGACATTTGTATTGGCCTAGTAGGAAGGGTTATAGTCATGCTATTCTACAGAAAGCCATTTGTATTGACCTAGTAGAAAGGGTTGTAGTCATGCTTTTCTATGGACAGACATTTGTATTGACCTGGTAGCAAGGGTTGTTGTCATGCTATTCTATGGACGGACATTTGTATTGACCTAGTAGAAAGGGTTTTTGTCATGCTATTCTATGGACAGACATATGTATTGACCTAGTAGAAAGGGTTGTAGTCATACTACTCTATGGACAGACATTAGTATTGACCTAGTAGGAAGGGTTGTTGTGATGCTGCTCTTTGGACAGACATTTGTATTGACCTAGTAGGAAGGGGTGTATTACATGCTATTCTATGGACAGACATTTGCATTGACCTAGTAGAAAGGGTTGTAGTCATACTACTCTATGGACAGACATTAGTATTGACCTAGTAGAAAGGGTTGTATTACATGCTATTCTTTGGACAGACATTTGTATTGACCTGGTAGGAAGGGTTGTTGTCATGCTATTCTATGGACCGACTTTTGTATTGACCTAGTAGGAAGGGTTGTAGTCATGCTATTCTATGGACAGACATTTGGATTGACCTGGTAGAAAGGGTTGTTGTCATGCTTCTCTATGGACAGACATTTGTATTGACCCGGTAGAAAGGGTTGTATTACATGCTACTCTATGGACAGACATTTGTATTGACCTGTTAGAAAGGGTTGTTGTCATGCTATTCTATGCACAGACATTTGTATTGACCTGGGAGAAAGGGTTGTAGTCATGCTATTCTATGGAGAGACATTTATATTGACCTAATAGAAAGGGTTGTTGTTATGCTATTCTATGGACAGACATTTGTATTGTCCTAGTAGGAAGGGTTGTTGTCATGCTATTCCATGGACAGACATTTGTATTGACCTAGTGGGAAGGGTTGTTGTCATGCTATTCTATGGACAGACATATGTATTGACCTAGTAGAAAGGGTTGTAGTCATGCTTTTCTATGGACAGACATTTGTATTGACCCAATAGGAAGGGTTGTTGTCATGCTATTCTATAGACAGACATTTGTATTGACCTAGTAGGAAGGGTTGTAGTCATGCTCCTCTATGGACAGACCTTTTTATTAACCTAGTAGAAAGGGTTTTATTACATGCTATTCTATGGACAGACATTTGCATTGACCTAGTAGGAAGGGGTGTTGTCATGCTACTCTTTGGTCAGACATTTGTATTGTCCTAGTAGGAAGGGTTGTTGTCATGCTATTCCATGGACAGACATTTGTATTGACCTAGTGGGAAGAGTGGTTGTCATGCTATTCTATGGACAGACATATGTATTGACCTAGTAGAAAGGGTTGTATTACATGCTATTCTTTGGACAGACATTTGTATTGACCTAGGAGGAAGGGTTGTTGTCATGCTATTCTATGGACAGGCATTTGTATTGACCTGGTAGAAAGGGTTGTTGTCATGCCATTCTATGGACAGACATTTGTATTGACCTGTTAGAAAGGGTTGTTGTCATGCTATTCTATGGATAGACATTTGTATTGACCTAGTAGAAAGGGTTGTAGTTATGCTATTCTATGAACAGACATTTGTATTGACCTGGTAGCAAGGGTTGTTGTCATGCTATTCTATGGACCGACTTTTGTATTGACCTAGTAGGAAGGGTTGTTGTCATGCTACTCTTTGGACAGACATTTGTATTGACCTAGTAGGAAGGGTTGTATTACATGCTATTCTATGGACAGACATTTGTATTGACCTGGTAGGAAGGGTTGTTGTCATGCTATTCTATGGACAGACATTTGTATTGACCTAGTAGAAAGGGTTGTTGTCAAAAGGTACGAACTGATACCAATTGTTTAGCACATATTTTTCAGATAATATTCACTTTAAACAGTTTCTTAGCTGAGGACTCTAGTGCATCGGTTTTGTAAATGAGTAAATTAAAGTCTTATTTGATGTAATATTTGTCCTGTTTGTGTTTACTAG